GAGAGAGGGGGTACTGGGGGAGATTCAGGAGGGGATACCCCCAGGCTGCAGGAGAGAGGGGGTACTGGGGGTGATTCAGGAGGGAATACCCCCAGGCTGCAGGAGAGAGGGGGTACTGGGGGAGATTCAGGAGGGGGTACTGGGGGAGATTCAGGAGGGGATACCCCGTGATGGTGCAGAAGCTGGTTGTTCGTGTTCAGTTTCTGTGTCTCCAGGCTGAGGAGAGGGAGGAAACTGTCCAGAAAAACCAGCTCAGAGCTGGGTCTGAACTGAAACTAAGCAGCCCAAAGTGACAAAGGTTTGTTTAAATTGCAAACTCATGTGGGATGAAGCACCTCCACACACACACTCTCACTCCTCAGTGCTGACACACACACTCACTCTCACCTCTGACACAAACTCTCTCACTCCACAACACTGACACACACACAACCTCACTCCTCAGCGCTGACACACCCAGTAAACTCTCGATCTGCACGCTGAACGCTGAACACACACCCACCCAGTAAACTCTCCGCTCAACACCGACTCACACACACACACACCGAACTGCCTCTCAGCTCGCCGCTCCTCCAGGAACGGGACTCGGACCCTGTGCAAAGATGGCAGGTGAGTTCTCCTGTGCCGCAGCCCCTGAGCCCATCATCTATGATGAGCTGCTCCTGTGAGCTGAGCAGGAGGAGCGGTTCGGCCGGCTGACGCACATCTGCGCTCGCTCAAATGGAGACTTCAGTGTAAGATGGCTGCCGGAGGAGCACAATAATAAGACGATAACGATGCGGCAGCAGTCGTCCGGGGACTCCAGGAAGCGAAGTACAGAATATAACAGAGACGCGTCTCGCAAAAACGAGACCTAGAAGAGCAGAGCACAGCCATTCCATGAAATAAAAATGTTCAGGTTGTTTGCTAAACCCGATCAAAACCGGCACGCAGCTCGTGTTAATCCCGGCTGGGCGTGCCCAGACCCACTGTAGACCTGAGCCTAGAGGACGGTTTTGTCTGTGTGGACAGGCGGTGAATTATCCCGAATATTGGAGATGCAAGCAATCATGATACTGGTGAGGCAGTGATACTGCACATTATGACCGAGGTGTGTCCTTCACGGGCAGATTCCAGGGCAGTGGCACCTTTGGGAGGGACAGCATGTATCGTGGACGGCCGAAATCGTGATCACAGAAAGAAAAACGCGTTCGCCGTCAGAGCACGCACACCGGATCCGGTTCGCGGCTCCCGAACCCAGTCCGAACTCGAGCATTGCAGAACCGCGCGACTGCAGCCAAAACACACTTCAATCTTTAACGCGCCTTTCAGTCTTTTTTTTTATTAACACGGCGTCTGGAAATGCATATCGAGAGCTGCATCACAGTTATAAAGCATTCAGTGACTGTGCATGACCTTTAATTCATGCAAATAACGTTCCTCTTAACTGCCACCGAAAAGAGTATCTCAAGTTCAGCACACGAAAGCTGCGCATCACTGCGTCACCGGCTCGGGCCTCCAGTAGCTGATCTCCGGTGTCTGGTGCCACCTAGTGGCCAGGAGGGGAAACGGGCGACACCAGGGCAGACTCCCCTCCTGGAAAAGCACCGGTATCGATATTGCACAGGGCGGCACGGTGGCGCGGTGCTTAGCATTGACTCCCCTGGTGCCCGTGTGTGTGTGTCTGTGTCAGTGTGTGCCCGGTGCTTGCTGGGATAGGCTCCGGCTCCCCCCCACAGCCCTGTATTGGTTCGAAAAAGGATGGATGGATTTCACATTGACGTTTTCCCCCCAGATACACTGTAAGAATGTCTGGGGTTTTGCTGACGTGAGATACACTGAGGAGAGCTATGTCAGAGATGAAAGTCTGTCCCAAGAACAACAGCAGAGGAGCGGGTTGTCGACCCAGCATGCCTTTGGACTCCTGGGGAAAATATGGGGGGTGGGAGGGAATGGGAGCATGCAGACTCCACACAGAAGGATCCCACTCTGGATTCGAACCCGGGACTCGAGACCAGTGACCCCGCCACAGTCCAGC